GGAGCCCTGGGGCGAGGGGCGAGGGGCGCCCAAACCCGCCTGCCCGGGGGTGGGTGGTACTCAGGGCAGAGCAGGCCCGCTGGGGACTTTTCTGCATCCGAAGGGTGCTCAGGCTGTCAGAGGCTGAATCGCAAAGGTTCTCTCCATCCAGTCTGAAAAGCTGACCTGGCCCAAGAGGTGTTTGTCCTTGCCCATGTGTCTTATGTTTTTTGCAGGCTTGTGATCGCCATGGCTGCAGTGGATCAGTTCTGCCTCTTGTACAGAGAGATCAGTCGTTCCTGCAGTGTGTACATCGAGGCCCTGGCCATAGCTGGAGCCTGGTACACGGTCAGGACGTGTGTGTCCCTGGCCCTGGGCACCTACCGCGTGCTCAGGCTGCACCTCGTGCCCAGGCTGGGCGGCCAGGTCGATCTGGTCAAGCAGTATGGGAACTGGGCCGTGGTCACAGGTAAGAGGCTGGAGCTGTACACTGGATGATGTTTCTGTAACACTTGCCAGCTCCCCTTGCTGAGCACTCCGTGGCACAAGCTGGGGCCTCACTTATCTCAGGCTGCAAGTTAATCTGCTCGAGCAGCACCTCAGGAGGTGGGCAAGCTCAGTGGAAGAACCACAGAGCAATGTTTCCCCAAAGGTACACCCTGAACACCTACAAGCACAGAGATGCAGACAAGATCCTTCTTTTGCTCTTCACGTGTGCTCGAGCTCTTCAGCAAGGTTTAAGTCATGTCCCTCTGTTGTCCTGGCCTTTCATTAAGGTTCTACTCTAAGCTCTCTGCTGTTGTCACAGAAAAGATAAGACTTGTATAAGGAGGAGCTGCAGGAGGTTGATACTGACAAGGTTGTCTTTAACGTTATGGCTTTGAGATCAGCATATTCAGTGCCTCAGAGAAAGGAATAAAGCTATAATTGAAAGAACTGTCAAAACAGAAGGCTGGGGCTGCTCTGATTTTTCTCCTCTTCTGTTTTTTTTTATTTCCCATCCCAGGTAGCACAGATGGTGTGGGGAAGGCATATGCTGAGCAACTGGCGAAGCGTGGTGTCAACATCATCCTCATCAGCAGAAACAAAGAGAAGCTGGAGGCTGTATCCAGGAGCATATCTGAAACCTACCAAGTGGAAACAGATTTCATAGTAGCTGACTTCAGCAAGGGCCGTGAGCCTTACCCAGCCATTAAGAAGGCTCTGAAAGACAGAGACATTGGCATTTTGGTGAATAACGTAGGGATGTTTTACAACTACCCGGACTATTTTACCAACCTGTCTGAGGATATTCTGTGGGACATGATCAACGTAAATATTGCTTCTGCTAACATGATGGTACATATCGTGCTGCCAGGCATGGTAGAGAGGAGGAAAGGGGCAATTGTGAATATTTCTTCTGCATGCTGTTGTCAGCCAACACCGATGATGACGATGTATGGAGCCTCTAAAGTAAGTTGGGTGTGGTGTTTCATGGTGGGCACTGAAAAGGAGATGCATTATAGCTTGGTTGGTCATAAATGCATTCAGCAAGGATATCAAGATACCCTTGAAAGTTTTCAAGGGGTTTGTTCAATGTCAGAGGTGAGTGTTACGTGTAATCCTCACCAATACTGCGCTTGAACCAGTGTTTGTATTGTGTGTGAACTCTGGCATAACAGTAGTTCTAGAAGAAATGTTCTCATAGGGATGACAAACTGAAGTGGCAGAGTCCTGTGACCCACTGAAAAGGTCAAGAATTTAATTTCTCTCTTCAGCTGAAAGACCTGCCTGGAAGTAGGTCACCTGTCTGTTAAGGTTTCATTTTTGGGGACAGACTGTAGGCTCCAAAATAATTTTATGAACATTGGTCATAATCTCATGTGTTTTACCTAGTGGCTTTCTGTAGCATTAGGTTGAGCAGAAGGAATTGAAGAAGTGGGGCTAGCCCAAAAGAAATAAAGGTATGTGCAGACATACCTCAAGCTACTTACTACTATTTGGTAGCAAGAGGGCTGCCATCGTGCTCGAGCCACCACTGAGACAAGGGCTGTGGCCAAATCATATTTGGGGAGAAGTTAAAACAGCTTTCCCTCCTGTAATTAGCCTTCCTGAGGAGATCTAGTCAATAATGAATAGGATGGAACATATGGGAGATGCTGGATGTACAAATACGTGTGGGAACATGGATTTACACTGCATGACTTGCTGAATCCACAAAAGCAACTGAGGTTGTTAGAAGATCTTGTCTCTACCAGGTGTCTAAACACAAGTGATGATTGCTCCCAGTTGTTGGTGGCCACCCTCTGCTGTAGCCTCACCCCCGTGCAGCCTTACTCCTGGAATAGCTCTTGAGAGTACTTCTTTTGCATGGAGCAAAACCAGCTCTTAATACCCTGAGGTATAAAATTCCTTGCAGATTTTCTTCAGTGTGGAAACAAGCTTATGATTGCTGCTGCAGAGCATCTTTTCCCCTTGGTTATGGTAGGTGTACGTGGAACTGCACTCTGAACTAAAATAATTAAAAGCCTGACTGGAAAAGAACAGAAAAAAAACAAGTGTGCCAAAGTTTCTCCCTCTAGCTGTCATCATGAATCCAAATCCTAGGTCAGCAATCCAGTTTAAAGCCAGGCCTCTGGGAGGCACAGGAGTGGGAACAAGCTGCTCTAGCATCCAAGCCTCTGTGATTAGCAGCATAAGGTGTTTGAAGTGGTTAAGTGGTTGGGTTTTGTTTGGGTTTTTTTTTCCTGAAGCAGGTGCAAGAGCCTTTGTAGAAGATGCTCTCAGAACAGTTTGCTGGAATGGCACTTCTGTGAGGCCTTTTGGGAGCAGAAACCAATTCACTCACAAGCTCTTTCTCAGGGTGTGGCACCGCAGTAGCATCAGTGTTGCTACCTTGACAAGACTGAACCATGCTCATGTTTCCCTCCAATTCCAGCAATCCCAGTTACCAGGCTTGTGCTTTTTTATGTTATCCTGTAACCATGAAATGAACTAAAGGAGATCATACAGATACACATAAACAAACACACGTTCCATTTTGCACAAGGGACTTGCAGGAAATAATTAATGCAGCTTCTGAGGAAGATGGATTGAATATAAAATTCACCTGTAAATGCATTAAAGAATGGGACTCCATTTTGTCCTTTTGACAACAGTATGTTTAGGTGGCTTTGGAGTGTCCCCTGCAATGCCTCCAAACTAAATGAGGTGCTTTAGATTAAGTAAAAGTTTCTGTGTTGTTTTTAAGCAGAAATTGTCAGATTGTTTGTTAAATTGACATCAGAGACTTCATCAGCTGCTTTGTCCTGCAAGTTACTGTACTGTTGCAGGTTTTTAGCAAAGAACAACAAACAGAAATGTTAGTAATACTTTATAAATACCTATTTTTATACTATTTATTCAAGGTGGTTTGTTGGTTTTTTTTAAGCTGATGCATAAAATATGCCACAACTTTTCTGTAATCTTAAGAAAACTCTGCCCTGAGGTGACTGGCATCTTTTATTCTTTCTTTTTTAAAAAACCACTCTCTGCTTTTGTCTTTCCAGACCTACTTGGACTATTTCAGTAGAGCACTACATTATGAGTATGCCTCAAAAGGAATTTTTGTTCAGAGTTTAACCCCATTTGTAATTGCTACAAAGATGGTAGAACACCGCAGCATTGCATCCAAGGCATCTTTCTTTTTTCCTTCTGCTGAAGAATATGCAAGTCATGCTATTTCTACTCTTGGGTTATCCACAAGGACTACTGGTTACTGGAAACATGCAATAGAGGTAATAGAATTCATTAAACTATTTCATATTTGTCAATAGAATAAGCTGTTTTACTTTCTTAGGAGCTTGAATGAAAACTATGCCCAGATTCTGAAAGAGTACAATGTAAATTGTAGGATTTAAAGGCATCTTGCCATATTTTCTCACTAATTCTGCTGGAGAAAATCTTGACCTGCCTGGAAGTAGGTCACCTGTCTGTTAGGGTTTCATTTTTGGGGACAGACTGTAGGCTCCAAAATAATTTTATGAACATTGGTCATAATCTCATGTGTTTTACCTAGTGGCTTTCTGTAGCATTAGGTTGAGCAGAAGGAATTGAAGAAGTGGGGCTAGCCCAAAAGGAATAAAAGAAGGATTCTGGAAAGATGTGGCAATTAAAGGAAGAGGACTTGAACAAACCACTTCAGGATTTATTTGCAGAACCTGTTATCTGTGTGCACTACTGCCAACATGGCTAAATACATTTCATTCCAGGGGGCTGAATTTAAGGCTTAGCTGCTGATGTTCAAGAAGGTTTTGCGTTGCTTTAGTGGTAATTTGGTAAACTATTTGTTTACTGTGATGGAAGAGATCTTAATCTGTTCCTTGTCTCCCTGTGCCTCTCCACAGTTCGTGTTGGGTGAACACCTACCTGAATGGATCTGGGCATGGTTTGCACTGTATTTTTGCAGGATTACTCGCAAGGAAGCTTTAGCAAGCCAAGTGAAATAGGAGTATCCAGGTGTCCTGTGCAACAAGTACTATATTCCAACCCAAAGACCTGCAGAAATGTTTAATGAAGCTCGGTGGACTCACTGTGCCTCATGCACACCTTGCTGAACAAGCTACGTGTAATTTAGACATCCCAAGAGTGGATCTTCTTGGTATCCTTGTATTTAATTGCTTCTCTGTTGATTCATTGTGAATAATGTTCCGTTTTAAAAATACTGACCGATTTAAATAAGATAATGGAAAACCTAATGCTGTACGATGATGATGGTTGCGTGTATATAAACAGTGTTTGTGCAGATGTACTTACTGTAAGTTTTCTCCTCCTGTTTGCTGTAAGCTTTACCTCTGAGAGTCAGGGAAGCGGCCCTTCCTGTTGCTGCCTGAAAGAGGGACAGTTCTAAGCTCTAAATTACCGCGGGTTGGTTAGTGCTGCTGTCACGTTACACTGAAACACCACACCTCTCCCTTCCTGAGGTAAAACCCGCACCCTCAGCTGTCCTGCAGGGCTCAGACCCCCCAACTCAGCCACAAATGAGCACTGAGGTGATTAAACCCCCCTGAGAGGCGGTGGGTCCTCAGGGCGGGACGCGGCCCCTGGGCCGCTATCGCGCTGCGCACGCGCGGCGCCGCGAGTCTCGCGAG